TACACTACATGAAACTGTCCCAAAACAACAACACAAGAAAGTTTTATTGTGACCAGGTGTGGTGGCGAAAACCTTTAATCCCAGTACTCGGAAGACAGAGGCAGTCAGATCTTTGTGAGTTCGAGGCCAGCCTGATCTAGAGAGCAAGTTCCAGGATAGCCAAGGCTACACAGTGGGACCCTGTCTTTAAAGAAAAACAACAAACAAACAAAAAACCTTTATTAGGAAGAGCTAATGTGCCTGTAACCCCAGCAAGATAGCATAAAGAAGTAGGCATGGTAGTGCTTGTCCATTATCCTGGCATTTGGGAGGTGGAGGCAGGAAGATCAGAAATTCCAAGTCCTCCTGAGCTACACGTGGGGTCAGGGAAAGCCTGGATTACATGAGAGCCTCTCGACAAACTAACAGGGCCAGTGAAGTGGTTCAGCAGGCACTGGCTGCCAAGCTTGGTGACCTGAGTTCAGGTCCCAAATCATGGGAGGACAGACCTGACCCCCCAAAAGTCCTTGTGCTATACATGTGCCCATCACACACAGAGAGAGAATAAAATTTTTTTTTTTTTTTTGAGACAGGGTTTCTCTGTGTAGCTTTGAAGCCTGTCCTGGAACTCACTTGGTAGTCCAGGCTGGCCTCGAACTCACAGAGATCCGCCTGGCTCTGCCTCCCAAGTGCTGGGATTAAAGGCATGCGCCACCACTGCCCGGCGAGAATAAAAACTTTAAAACAAACTCATGGCAGAGTCTCTTCCCTCAACCTTTTCCTATGTAGTGTCGCTTTACAGAAATTGTTTATGACTGGGCCTTGCTTTGTAGTTCTGGCTAGCCTGGTACTCACTATATAGCCCACACTGGCTTGGAACTTGGTGTCGTGGATGCTGGGCACACAGGAATGTGCCACTACACCCAGCTTTTCACTGGCAGCCGGGGCCTCCTGCATGCTGGCTAAACACCCCATCCCTGAAGGCCATGCTCAGCCGTCCTCTTCAGACCCTCCTGCCTTTTGTGTCTTCTTTCAGAGATGACTTGCTGCTCATTGGACCAGGAAACAGAAACTACACATACATGGCCCAGGCCGTGAACAGAGGGGTGACCGTTGTAGGGCTTTGGGACCAAAGGCACCCTGGTATGGCAGATTACATTCCTGTTGCTGTAGACCACGCCATTGAGCCGGACACCAAGCTTACCTTTGTTGGAGATGTCATCTGCTTCAGCACGCACCTCGTCAATCAGCATGGTAGGCGTACTTCTCCTTAACCGCACAAAAGGCAGTTCTGTCAGGTGGGCGGCGCACGCCTTCAATCCCAGCACTCGGGAGGCAGAGGCAGGCGGATCTCTGTGAGGTTGAGGCCAGCCTGGTCTATACAAGCAGTTCCAGGTTAGCCAGGGCTACATAGTATAAGACCCTTTCCCCCAGCCCCCCAAAAATATTTATTTATTTTGATTTCTTATGACATTTTATTTATTTGTGTGTGGGGACAAGAAGAACGTGGGTGAGTTAGTTCTCATCTCTCACCAGTTGGGTCCCAAGCATTGAACTCAGGTCATCAGACTTAGTAGTAGGACCCCTTACCCGCTGGGCCATCTTGATGGCCCGAAGTGTTGGATTATTTGTCACACCAGCTGATAATTCTCAGCCGACTGGCCATTTTCTCCATAACCAACTAGAAGTCAAGTAGTTAGCACTTACCGACTGCCTACTGAACACAACTTTGTATTATATAATGTAGATTATCTGGGGTGCTGTGTCTTCATCTCGGCTTTTGAAGGAAGGTAACTACTAGTTTAAGAATAATAAAAGCTGAGCCCGGTGGGCGGGTCTCTGTGAGTTCGAGGCCAGCCTGGTCTACAGAGTGAGTTCTAGGACAGGCTCCAAAGCTACACAGAGAAACCCTGCCTCAAAAAAACAAAACAAAAGAATAATAAAAGCTGGACTAAAGAGATGGCTCCGTGGTGAAGGGCACTTCTTATTCTCGAGAGGACCAGGGTTCAATGTCCAGCATGTACATGGTGGCTCACAACCATCTGTATACTCCCTCTTCTGGCCTCCACAGGCAACAGGCACATGTGTGGTGTACATAAATGCATATAGGCAGAACATTCATACACAAAATTTAAAAACCTAAAAATATTTGAAATTATAATCATTGATGAAATCCGAGAAATAAGAAAAACAATGAGACTTTAGTTCTAGCAAACAAGTATTGATATGCAGTTCTATGAGCAGCAGTCAAGGCCTAATCTAATGTCCGACAGGTCACTGTGGCAGATTTGTATGGTGTGTGGTGCACATGCCATGGCATGCATGAAGGTTATGGAGTTGGTTCTTTCCTTCCACTCGGGACTCGGGATCAGATGCAGGTCATCAGGCTTGCACAGCAAACACGTGTACCATCCGAGCCAAGCCATCTTGCCAGCCCTAGACTATGTTAATCAGCAAAACATTTCTGTTGGAAGTTCTATTAAGTTCAATAAAAATGATGGAAATTAGTCCTTGGGTTCAAACCAAAAAATAGCACTCAAAAGTAAAAAGTAGGGCTGGAGAGATGGCTCAGAGGTTAAGAGCACTGACTGCTCTTCCAAAGGTCCTAAGTTCAATTCCCAGCAACCACATGTTGGCTCACAACCATCTGTAATGAGATCTGGTGCCCTCTTCTGGCCTGCAGGGATACACGCAGACAGAGCACTGTATACACAATCAATAAATAAAATTGTAAAAAAAAAAAAAAAAAAAAAAAAAAAGTAAAAAGTAAATAGCACTCAAAAATACAAAGTAAATTTCCCGTTGGCGAGGAATCATGAGTTCTTTGGCTTCACAGACAGTATGTCCCAAAGTGGCATTCGTTGCCACACATCATGTGTTGTGGAGCACTGTTCTCTGAGCATACAGCTATTGTTTGCATCAGAGCAATGGGACTCCTTCCGGTAGACCCCGAGATCAGACCTGTTCGTTGCTGATGTTGCCTCAGAGAAGGAAGGATGGAGAGGGTTATTGGAACCTCACACTTTCGTCCCTCGCAGTTCGTTGGATGTGATTCTGCTCTGATCGCATCAAACCTCTTAGCCTTGGGGGGTGCTAGAGCACACACACAGTGTGGAAGGCTAACTGAAGGAGGGATTCCATCTGTGCAGCTATGGGGGCGCTGTCATCCATGTTGGGGTGACTCTCCAGTAGTGTGGCAGCTTTGGGGTCACCCATGCTCTGTAAGTAAGCCCAATAAACTTACTGGTTTCCCAAGTTGAACTTGGATTTGGTTTGTCACTGGTGCCCTATAAGGAGGGGGTGAACAGTCTATGTCTCCCCAGGGAAGAGTTCCTGCAACCGTCCATGTATGACTGGCTGGGTGGTGTAGGGTTTGGGCTTTGGTCTCTTTTCTGGGAACTATGGATACGTGCTGAGTTAAGTGACAACCCTGGACCTAATTCTAACACACACTACATGTTTTATACTTGTTACAAAGGTGGTCCTAATCAGCCAAGGGCAAATCTCTGCCTTGGAGCTGACTTGCAATGACCGATGTACACTCCAAGGCCTGTGAGCTAAGCTTGCTTCAAAGTCAGCAATGAAAATTACAGTTCCACAAGTGTAAATCTCTCAGATGAAGCAAACTTTGTTTTTAAACATTTATGGGCGCGGGGGGCACACGTGTCAGGATACACATGAGGGTCCGAGGACAACTTCCGGCATACGTGTCAGGATACACGTATGAAGGACAGAGGACAATTTCTGGCACGCGTGTCAGGATACACATATGAGAGTCAGAGGACAATTTCTGGCACACATGTCAGGATACACACACATGAGGGTCAGAGAACAGCCCTCAGGAGTCAGTTTTGTGTTTTCTCCCACCGTGTGGGTCCTGGAAATTAGCTCAGGCTTTATCGCAGTGACTTTGCCCACTGAGCAGCTTGCCGGCCGCAGAAGCAAGGCCTTTTGCTGGGTTTGGCCAGCACCACCCTCCAGTGTTGCATTCTGGAATCTTGAGAGACAACCCAGTGTACACTAGGAAGGGTGAGGAAGCAGAAGAGCTGCTGGTCAGGGTCAGAAACCCAGTAGGCGTCGGGTGAAACAGATACTCAGAAAAGCTACATTACGTTCTTGGAAAAGAGTGGTCTGGAGCGGCTGACTGAGACTTTGAATGAAGTAACTTGTTAATTTATACTGAAAATTGCAGCCAGGCGCTTTCTCTTGTCTTTCTCAGGTGAGCCTGGGGTGTGGATGATCTCTACCAACAATATCATACAGACAGACACTGTCACTGGAGTAGGAGTGGCGAGGAGCCCAGGAACCGCAACAATCTTTTATGACATCCCTGGAGTTGTGAAGACGTTTCGAGAGGTACAGCTAACTGCACCAAGCTGAGGAGACTAGCGTGACTGTGCATTTGTAGACTCTACATGTCGAAATATCCTAGGATGGAAGTGCACTTGCTAACAGACCCCAAAACAGCTGGTGGGCTGGGCAACATTTCAGTGACAGAGCATTTGCTAGCATGCTAAGACCTCGCTTCAACCTCAAGCACCTTAAAACAAAACAACAAAGCTATTCTATTTTTTATTGTATTTATTTGTTTGTTTGTTTGTTCATTTGTTTTGTTTTTCTGTGTAGCCTGGAACTGTGTGTCCTAGAACTCTTTATGTAGACCAAGCTGGCCTCAGAATCAGAGATCTGCCTGCCTCTGCCTCCTGAGTTCTGGGATTAAAGGAGTGTGCCACCACACCTGGCTTCAGAAAAGCAATTTTTATAAAAAGTAGTTAGAATTCTTACCAGAAGAATGACTAATCTGATTACTGCTTTAAGAGATCACTATGAAGCCAGACGATGGTGGCGCACTCTTTTAATCCCAGCATTCAGAAGGCAGAGGCAGGCAGATCTCTGAGTTCGAGGCTAGCCTGGACTACAGAGTGAGCTCTAGGACGGCCAGGGCTACACAGAGAAACCCTGTCTTGAACCCCCCACAAAAAACAAACGAACAAACAAAAAGCCCGGAGATCACTCTGAGAGCTCCATTCAGCAGCGCATATACTAAACAGAGCAATACAGGCAGGGTTAGCCATGGCCCCTCCACAAGGATGGCAGACAAATTCATGAAGCATTTCATACTTTTATCATTAAAAACCTGAGAGACCTAGGCATCATGGGGAGAGCCTGGCTGCCTCTGTCTGTCCTGAGCCAGGTGCCTTCAGTGTAAGGAAATGCTTCAGAAATTCACTGGCTCCTTCAAACCAAGAGAAAAAAAAGACAGAGAGGGACCACTGTGAGGGCTGGGAGATGGCTCAGTTAGTAACCCAGAACCAGATGTGGTGACAGTCACCTGTAACTCACCTGTAACCCCAGCACTCCTGTGGTGAGACAGGAGGCAGGAACAGGAACCTGCCAGATGCTCTCTTAGCGGCAGAAACAAGAGAGATCCTGCCTCAAAACAAGGTGGAAGGTGAGCCTGGAAAAGTCCTCTAACCTGCACATGGCCTGGCATGCATGTGCCCACACTCACACATGCAAACGTAATCTTAGATGGCTCATTGTGAGCCTGGTGCTACATGCCTGTAATCCCAGCATGCAAGAGGTTGAGGCAGGATTTCGGAAACTGGAATTCAAGGACAGCCTCTGCTGCACAGTGAGGTTCAGGCCAGCCTGGGCTACAGTGAGAGACCTTGTCTCAAAACGAGAAAACTTCTCCCGGGCTGGGGATGTAGTGCAGTAGGTAGAGTGCTTTACCATATAAACCAGGTCTTTAATCCCAACACTGGGGATGTGGACATGGAGGCTGGAAGATCAGAAATTCAAGGTCATTGTAGGCTATAAAGGGAGATTCAGGCCAGCCTGGGATACATGAGACCCTGTCTCAAAATTTAAAATAATAATAATAATAATAATAATAATAATTTCAGCTGGGCAGCGGTGGTGCACGCCTTTAATCCCAGCACAGAGCCAGGTAGGTGTCTGTGAGTTCGAGGCCAGTCTGATGTACAGAGCGAGATCCAGGACAGGCACCAAAACTACACAGAGAAACCCTGTCTCGCAAATCAAAACAAAACAAAAATCATTTCAACAGTAAACAGGTTTTTTTGTTTGTTTGTTTCTCAAATAATCAGAATGCCAGTTTGCATTTGTATGAAATAGATACTTTTGGTTGAAATACATTATAAGGGGTAAAGATGGAGGGGACCAGATATTCCTTTGGTGTGCTGACAGGTGGTAGTCAATGCATCATCAAGATTAACACTCAGCTATGACCTGAAGACTTACCTCACCAATATCCCCAATGCAACTGTGTTCAAACTCTTCATCAGCACCGGGAGACATGATGTTAACCTCAAAGGTAGGGAACTTCCCCACAGGCCTCCTGATTATGTCCATCTTCCTTTGCCTCCCTCAATTACTTTACTCCTTTGGACTAACATGTTTCCTTTGATTGGCTATGCAAATACCACATACCTGTAATGCTAGCATGTGAAAGGCTGAGACACAAGCATTACAGCATGTTCAAGGACACCCTGGGCTACACAGCAAGATCCTATCTCAATAATAAATAAAACAAAAAAATTTCATTGTGCTTCAAAATTGCCTCCAATTTTTATGAAGATTTCTATTATTTTTATTTATGTGTAGGTATATGGGTATATGCGCATGGGTGTAGGGGCCCTCAGTGGCCAGACACCTGACATGGGTGCTAGGAAATGAACTTGGTCCTCTAGAAGAGCAATAACTTAACTGTTGAGCATCTCTCTAGCCCAGTTAGTTCTTAATCTGTGGGCTGGGACCACTTGGAGTTCGAACAACCCTTTTACAGGGGTCACCTAAGACCATCAGAAAACAGATATTTCACATTACTATTCATAACAGTAGCAAAATTACAGTTAGGAAGTAGCTACAAAATAATTTAATGGTTGGGGGTCACCACAACATGAGGAGCTGTATTAAAGGATCACAGTGTTAGGAAGATTGCCGGGCGGTGATGGCGCACGCCTTTAATCCCAGCACTCAGGAGGCAGAGGCAGGCGGATCTTTGTGAGTTCGAGGACAGCCTGGTCTACAAAGCAAGTTCCAGGACAGTGTGGGTTACACAGAGAAACCCTGTCTCGAAAAATAAAAAATAAAAAATAAAAAAAATAAAGGGTCACAGCATTAGGAAGATTGGGAACCACTACTTTAGCCCTTGATTCCATCTTGACACAGAAAATGAAGTCAATGGGATTTCAAAAATTATGACTGGATTAAAGTTTGGATTTTTATAGCTGGGCAGCAGTGGCACACACCTTTAATCCCAGCACTCGGGGAGGCAGAGACAAGCAGATCTGGTTGGAGGCCAGCCTGGTCTACAGAGTGAGTTCCAGAACAACCAGGACTACACAGAAAAACCCTGTCTTTAAAAAAAAAAAAAAAAAAAAAAAAAAGTTTGGATTTTTCCTTTTTATGTGGTGCTGGAGATCAAAGCCAGTGTCATGCATGCTATTATACTGCTGAGGCATACCCTAGCCTGGATTAATGGCTTTTAGTTTTTTTTTTTTGTTTTTGAGACAGTTTCACTATGTAGCCCAGGCTGGCCTTGAACTTTGGTCTCTGCCTCTGGAGTGCTAGGATTAATGATATGTTAGGGTTTTTTTTTTTTTTTTTTAATATAAGATTTTTATTCAGCCGGGCGGCCGTGGCGCACACCTCTAATCCCAGCACTTGGGAGGCAGAGCCAGATGGATCTCTGTGAGTTTGAGCCCATCCTGGTCTACAGAGTGAGATCCAGGACAGGCACCAAAACTACACAGAGAAACCCTGTCTCCAAAAAAAAAAAAAAGATTTTTATTCACGTGTATGACTGCCTTCTGTTCAGGTTCCCTCAAAGGCCATACAAGGATGTCAAATACCCTAGAGCTTGAGTTACAAATGGTTGTGAGCTACCCAGTGCAAGTACTGAGAACTGAACTCAGGTCCTCTGTAGCTAGTCTTTCTCTGTCCTGCCAGCCAGGTCCCAAATCAGAACACAGAGACCTTTTATTACTTATGAAAGCTAGGCTGATAGTTTAGGCTTGTTTTTAGCTAGCTCTATAACTTAATCCATTTCTATTAATTTATGTACTGCCTCGAGGCTCATGGCTTTTTACATCTCATCTCCTATATGTTATGCTTCGAGTCTCCACCCTTCTTCCCAGCATCCTCTCTGCCATGAAAATCCTGCCTAGCTATTGGCCATGTGTACATCTTCACAGTGTACAAAAACATTATTCCACAACAGCCGTCTGTAGGAACAAGTGCTCTAAAGCACTGAGTCAACTCTCCGGTGCCCATAATTTTTCCTTTTACAAATCCATGTTGGAAACACTTATTAACTTTTCTCTTCTTAGGATCCTGTACCCCAAGTCAGGCGTCCGCTGTTAGAAAAGTTCTTCTCCCCGAGACGCTCATGCTGTGCCACGTGCAGTTCAGCAATACTTTACTAGACATTCCAGCAAGTAAAGTCTTCCACATCCATTCGGAGTTCAGCATGGAGAGAGGTAGGATCCAGCAGCTCAGTGGCTTCCTTTGGCCCCATTTCTACAGCCGCCACCCTCCTGTTGAACTTGGCCTTCTCTCTACCTCTGGAGCCTTTCTCGACCTGTTTAACAAAGGGTTGTGTTTTCTGTTTGGGGTATCATGTATCCTTGGCTGACCTCAAACAGGAATGACCTTGAATTGACGACTCCACCTCCGGAGAGCTAGGATTGCAAGCTGTGCCACATGTCCAGTGTATCCGCTGTGGGTCAGTCTTGGAGCTTTGTGCATGCTCCGCAAACTCCACACCAACTGAGCTGTATCCCTTGTTCAGCTCACCTTTACCACATGCCACCTAGAATGTGCTGCTTTCCTATCATTTACCTTTTTCTTTTTTGCTCCTATTTTATGAAAGGTTGGATTGTGTCTCGTTTTTTTTTTTTTGTCTTGGTTTTTTCTTTTTGTTTTTTGTTTTTTTGGAGAAAGGGTCTCAATACGTAGCCCTGGATGGCCTGGAACTCACTGAGACCAGGCTAGTCTCAACCTTGGAGATCCACTTGCTTCTGCTACCTGAGTGCTGGGACTGTAGGCATATACCATCATGCCCAGGCTTATTCTTTTTTCTCCAACATGTAGAATAGTTTTGAATATTCCAAATGTCATTAACAAACAATAGTATAACATTGAGCTGCCCTGATATAAATGAACTAACATAAAATAAGAGGATTCTGCTAGGCTTTGTGGCATAAACCTGTAATCCTAATACTTGGAAGGCTGAGGCAGGAGGATGATAAAGTCAAGGCCTGCCTGGTCTACAACATGAGTTCAAGTTGATCTGGGAAATCTAGTGAGACTGTGTTCAAAATAAAAAGTAAAAAGAAGGGCGGGATGCTCAGTGGGAGAGTGATCACCTAGCATGTGGTAAGCATTCGTGCAAATATTGCAAACAAAATCGAGGGGATGAGGAGGCATAAGCAAGATAATGCTACACCACTTGAGCTCTGAATCGAGGCCTCTCAGCTTGAATGGCATGGGTAATGAACAAGCACTGAAGGAGGTTCAGTTAGACACTAAAGTTGGACACTTTAGAAAGTTCCAGAACAATTGGCCGGGCAGTGGTGGCGCACGCCTTTAATCCCAGCACTCGGGAGGCAGAGCCAGGCAGATCTCTGTGAGTTCGAGGCCAGCCTGGTCTACAAAGCGAGTTCCAGGAAAGGCACAAAGCTACACAGAGAAACCCTGTCTCGAAAAACCAAAAAAAAGTTCCAGAACAAGATGCAGATGGAATGGCACTTGCACTCCAAGGCAGGGCACCAGACCAGCAACCAACGGGAGCGTAGGAAGAGGCCTTCCATAAAGGGGTGTCAGAACCACACTCCAAAAGGTGTGTTTTATTTAAAAAGGTTTTATATTCATTTTGCTCCTCAGCACTTCTCACCTGCTTGGACCACACTACTTAATATTCACTCAGTGTTGACTTTCTGGGAACAGCACCGTTGAGTCCAGCTGTGGCTCCCCCTGGACTTTTTTTTTCCCTTTCCTTTGCTATTTTCCCCATAATGGTCAATAGTGTATGTAGCCTTACTAAATGCTCAAAACTGAGTTCAATTTTTTCTTCCCAACCTAACCTGGTTATCTCAA